ATAGATCAGTCAGGTAAATAAAAGCTAGATTACAGCCTGTCGTTAGGCAAGGTGAGGTCGTTAGTGATAGCTTAATTTAACACCGTGTCGTTAGCCCAAAGGGTGAGAAGGTCGTCAGGTATAGCTAGAAAGCCATGTGTTAGGCCAGATGGTGAGGGTCGTCAGTGATAGCTAGAATACAACTGTCGATAAGCAAAGGTAGGTCGTCAGTGATGAGCATAGAATCACCTGACGTTAGGCTAAAGGTGAGCGTCGTTAGTCGAAGCTAGATTACACCTGAGGTTGAGGCAAAGTGAGGGGGGTCAGTATAGCTAGATTACACTGTCATTTCAGGACAAAGGTGAGGCGGTCGTCAGTGATAGCTAGATTACACGCTCGTCGTTAGCAAAAGGGTGACGTCGTCAGTGATGCTAGAATTACACTTGTACGTTAGAGCCAAAGTGAGCGTCGTAGTGATAGCTAGAATACACTGTCGTTAAGGAAAAAGGTGAGGTCGTTAGTGATAAGTAGAATACAACGCTGTATTAGGAAAGTGAGCGTAGCGTTAGTGATAGCTGAATTACCCTGTCGTTAGGTAAGGTGAGGGTGAATCGGGTATTAGCTTAGAATGAACACCCTGTCATTAGGCAAAAGGTGAGCGTCGTTAGTCGATAGCTAATTACACGATGTAATATAGGCAAAGGTGAGCGTGTCAGTGATAGTAGAATCACCTGTCGTTAGGCAAAGGTGAGGGGGTTTCAGGGGGTATAGCTAGATAACGCCTGTCGTTAGGTAAAGGGTGAGGAGTCATCAGTGATAGGCTAGATTTCAACCTGTATTAGCGCAAAGGTGTAGGGTCGTCAGTGATGAGCTAGATTACATCCTGTCGTTAGGCAACAGGTGAGGTGTCAGTGGATAGCTAAGAATACACCCTGCAGTCGTTAGGGGGCAAAGGTGAGCGGTGTCAGGTATAGCTAGATTACACTAGTCATTAGACAAAGTGAAGCCGTGTCAGTGATAAGCGTAAGGATTACAAACTGTCGTTAGGCAAAGTGAGGGTCGTTTAGTGATAAGCTAGAATACACCTGTCTTAGGCCATAAGGTGAGGGTGGTCAGGTATAGCTAGAATACACCTGTCATGTAGGCCAAGAGGTGAGGGTCGTTAGTGAGAGCGGTAGAACTACACCTGTCGTTAGGGTATCGGTGAGTCGTTAGTGGATAGAGCTAGAATACCACCTGTTGTTAGGCATAAGGTGAGGGTGGTGCAGGTTATAGCTGAATACACCTGATCATTAGGCAAGAGGTTGACGGGTCGTTAGCTGATAGTAGATTTACCACCTAGTCGTTAAGGCCAAAGTCGCAGCGGTGTTTAGGATAGCTTAGATTTATACACCCTGTCGTTAGGCGCCCCCAAAGGTGAGGGGCGTACGCAGTGATAGGCTAGAATACACTCTGTCCGTTAAGGCACAAGGTGAAGGGTCGTCAGTTGATAGCTGGATTACACCTGTCCGTTAGGCCCCAAAGGTGAAGGGTCGTCAGGTATAGCTGAATAACACGCTGTCGTTAGGCGAAGGTGAGGGTGTCCAAGGCTATATTAGAATACACTGTCGTTAGGAAAGGTGAGCATCGTCCTAGTGATAGGCTAGAATTAACGTTGCGTTAGGGCTAAAGTGAGCGGTCGGTTAGTGATAGCGTAGAATACACCTGTCGTTAGTCAAAGGTGAGGGTCGTAGTCGGATGAGGCTAGAGATATACCGTGTCGTTAGGCAAAGGTGAGCGTCGTTAGTGATAGCTAGAATACGACCTGTTCGTTAGGCAAAGGTGAGGGTGTCAGGTTAGCTAGAATACGACGCTGTCGTGTAGGCAAAAGGTGAGCATCGTTAGTAGATAGCTAGAATACACGCTGTCGTTAGGCAAAGGTTGAGGCGTCGTTAGTGATAGCTAGAATACACCTGTCGGTCTAGGACGCAAAGGTGAGGGCTCGCTGAACTAGTGATAGGCTAGATTACACCTGTCGTTAGGGTGCAAAGGTGAGGTCCTTATGATAGCTAGATTACACTGTCGTTTAGGCACAGATGGTGAGCGTCGTCAGGGTATAAGCTAGAAATACAGCAGTCGTGTAGGGCAAAGGTGAACAATCGTCTAGTGATAGCTGATTGACACCTGTCATTATGGCCAAGGTGAGGTCGTCAGGTATAGTTAGATACCACCTGCGTACTAGGGCAAAGGGTGAGCCTCGTCGTTAGTGATAGCTAGAATACACCTGTCGTTAGGCATAGTGAGGGTCGTTAGAGTGTAGCTAGATTTCGGCACGTGGGGTCGTTAGGCAAAGGTGACGCGTCGTTTTAGTGGATAGGTAGAATACACCTGTGCGTTAGGCAAAGGTGAAGGCGTCCGTTAGTGGATAGCTAGAATACCGCTGGTTGTGTAGGCCAGCGCTCGCGCAAACGTTCCTACCGACCTGTAAAACACACACACACACACGTATACATGTGCAGGCTGGGTTGTTTCACGGTGCTAGAGCAATCCAGCGCTCGCGCAAACGTTCCTACCGACCTGTAAAACACACACACACACACATGTATACGTATGTGCTCATGTACACGCGCACACACACACATGTATACATACACACGCATGCACACATGTATATATACACACACACACACACACACACACACACACACACACACACACACACACACACACACACACACACACACGCACGCACGTACACACACACACACATGTGCACATGTACACGCGCACACACACATGTATACACACATACACACACATGCACGCACGCTCACGCACACGCACGCACATGCACGCACACTCACGCACGCACACACACACACCTATGTACACATGATGACTACAATGCCCTGCAGATGGCGCTACTCACCGCGCGATCACCATGAACTGGTCGATCTGTACGTCTGTGAGCACGTTCTCTGGACGCCACACCACCGTCTCCAGCTCGGGAACAATGCGACCGTCACCCTCACCTGCAAAACACAAGAGCATGCTCGCGTTAAAACCGACCGTGCCTGGATGCTTTTCCACCGATGCCTGCGTTTCGGTGAAATGAGAATAATAGAGTGATGCAGTCTTTCTGACTTGGCCAAGTTGTATTATTATTATTATTATTATTATTATCGGTATTGATATTATTATGAATGTGTTTACTAAATGTTCAAAAGATTTCAACGGCTGTTCACATTGCATGTGCTCAGGTAGATTGTTTTATATTATTATTATTATTATTATGTTTCCTAATGTGTAAAAGCATTTATTATTATTATTATTATTACATTCAATTCAATGAGAACGTGGCGTGTCGTTGCAATCTTTAAAACACAATAATAACAATTATGAACTACTATTGTTACCTCCGCCAAGGGGTTGGCAGGAGGTTATGTTTTCACCGGCGTGTGTTTGTGGGTTTGTGTACAGCCTAACTGGAAAAGTTATGGACGGATTGTCATAAAATTTTCAGGATAGGACAGAAATCGCCTAACTTAGAATTGATGAGATTTTGGTGGTGATCCGGATCCAATTAATTAAATTAATAAAATTTTCAGGATAGGTCAGAAATGGGCTAACTTGGAATTGATGAGATTTTGGTGGTGATCCGGATCCAATTAATTAAATTAATAAAATTTTCAGGATAGGTCAGAAATGGGGTAACCTAGAATTGATTACATATTGGTGGTGATCCGAATCCAATTAATTAATTAACTAATTAATTAATTAATAAA